GGCTGGCCATCCCAAGTTCAGCTCTTTAGGGGCCTGTCAATCCAGCAGGCCTAAAGAATGGCAGGGAGGCAGAGCTGGTGACACACCCCAGGTGCTCCCGTCATGGTGTCCCTCTGGGAGACACTGGCTGTTCTCCCTCCCTTGTTCTACAAGAGTGAATCCCTGCTCCAACAACCCTATATGTCACTGCTCAGTCCCACAGCCACTTCAGACTCCATCAAGTCCCCTTCCCCCAGGTCTCACTCCCCCGGCAGTTCCCCATCACCAAGGTTTTCCCTATGTGGGAGCTGCCGTAGAGATAGGGGAAGCTATCTGGGTCCCATATTGTGTTTTCTCTCAACCCTCACTCTAGTTGTCCAGCTGTCTTGACCAGCTCAGCTTCTCCTGTGAGCCCTGATCCCTAAAGTCTGACAAGCTGTCTGGCTTGGGTGGAGGGGAGGAACCCCCACCTGAGTGTCTAGGCTGCTCCCAGCACCCTGGCTCCCTCCTCACTATGATACTTTCCGTTGCTCTTCTCATCTGTGTCTGTCTGTCCTCACTCTGCGGATTGCTGACCACCTCTCTGTCCTCTCTCCTCTTCTACCTCCTCTCCTCCCCTCCCTCTGCTCCCTTACTCCATCCTACACCTCCAGAGCCATCGCCTGAGGACCGAGATCAGCACCATGTCCCCAGACTATCTCCATTAGTGAAGCTGAGAGGCCATCTCTTCCCTGAAGAAGGACCCCCACAGACACTGACCTTCAGAATCCTGTCCCCACACGCCCTGGCCCTTGGCTAACAGGCCTTGGCGGCACTTCCTTGCTCTGACACCTGGCCTTTGCCTGACCTCATGAGCAGGCCAGGGCGCCAGCCTCGGCCCTCCCTGACTGGCCCATCCCCTGGCCGCCCCAGCCTGGCTTATGACATCTTTCCACTGAGCAGCCCTTATTTTGAGAAGGCAAACCCAGTGGCGCCCACAGGCATGTACACATGCTAACACACGTACACATACCCTGTCCCTCCAGCGCCCCAATGCCACACGGACTGGCCTTCAAATCTGGCTGGCCGTGTTTATTTTTCTTCCTGTAATTTCCCCTTTGGAACAAACGCGGGTGCCGAAGCTCAGTCGCCCTCTCCCCAGTCTCCAGCCTCTCATCATCTTTGTCTCCTGTCCTCTAAGCACTCAGCTATGAATGAGAACAGAGTCGTCTTTAGCAGCAGCCTGAATGAATTGGTCTCAGCTTCCCAGCCAGCCTGAGAGGCGGGGTGATGGGCAGCATGTGGGTTTGCTTCTTAAAACCCTTTGCACCCCTTGAAGCTTCTATTTTTCCATGTGCCTTGGAGCGAAGCCCTCACCCTCCAGCCCTCTCTTTTTAAAGTTTATTTTGTTGCAGTTTTTGGTCCCACGCATTTTGTTTTCTGTTTTCTACAAGGGAGACTGAATTAGGGCCTCAGAAAAACAAGGCCAGGCTGCCAACTGGAAATGTTTGCTCTGGGGGCGAGTTGGGAGGCTGGCGTCAGGCGGGGCAAGATCCGAGCCAGTGGAATGTGATTTGGGGAGGAAGCTGCAGGTCACTCAATTGCTGGCAGGCGGCCCGGGAGCAACTGGATGCTTTCTGGGCTGTGTGTGTGTGCATGAAGACTCCCCCCTGCAAACAGAGCCCCAGAGATGTGAAGACAGAAGCATGAGGAACAAAGTAGACACGGGGTTGGAAAACCCGAAGGGGGTGGGTAAAATGGGTGGAGCGGATGAGCAGCAGGATCCCTTTGCCCACTTTGTTCAGTACTCTCTGAGTCCTTCCCTCAAAGGTGGAGGGGCACCCTGGTAGGAGGGAGTGGGGGGACCCTGGGACTGGAGGCTCCCAGTGCAGAGCGCAGGCTGATGTTCTTGAAAGTCCTCCCAGAGCAGGGTGCATGGATAGGCTAAAGTACTCAGGGGAGGCTTCCTGGAGGAGGTGTGGGAGGGAAGGCCCCGAAGCATTGCATTAAAAGGAAAGAATCTATGTTTGACTGCCTGGTGGTGGGCTCCAAGCCTTTCCCACCAGTAATCTCCTTAATCCCCCTTTCCCCTTGTGACACAGGGTAGCCTGTACTCAGGCTAGCCTTGAACTCCCTGGATAGTTGATGGTAGCTTTCAGCTTCTAATCCTCCTACCTCCACTGCCCCGGGACTGGATTGCAGGAATGCACCACCATGCCTAGTGTGTGTGGTGCTGACTGAACCCAAGGCTTCACATATGCTAGTTACTAACTGGGCTGCTTTCCGGGCCCTAGGCTCCTCAACCCTCACCACAGCTTTGTGAGGGTCAGGAATCTTTCAGTCCTGGCTTGGCAAATGAGGAAACTGAGGCCCAAAGAGATCTGGAAACTTGGTCAATCTTTGAGGTTGTAAGTGTCAAGCTAGAGCCCAAGCCAGGACTGTGTCTCTATAGCCTGAGCTCTTGGCCCAGCCAGAGCCCAAGCCAGGACTGTGTCTCTATAGCCTGGGCTCTTGGCCCAGCCAGAGCCCAAGCCAGGACTGTGTCTCTATAGCCTGAGCTCTTGGCCCAGCCAGAGCCCAAGCCAGGACTGTGTCTCCATAGCCTGGGCTCTTGGCCCAGCCAGAGCCCAAGCCAGGACTGTGTCTCCATAGCCTGGGCTCTTGGCCCAGCCAGAGCCCAAGCCAGGACTGTGTCTCTACAGCCTTAGCTCTTGGCCCCCCACCAATGTCTTTTTGCACATCAGCAGATTTCCTAGACAAGAGTTAGTTTCTCTTCTAGGACCCCATATAGATGATTGTTCTGCTCAAGATGAGGACCTAAGGAGGTGGCTTCTTTCCTAGGGCTCGTTGGGACAAGTGTCTGGAGATGAGAGGAGCTCCCAGGAGGTGGTGACTGGATCTCTGCGCAGCTATGCTACATTTTTTACCACATGGGTCCTGTCCTATAGCCTGGATACCTTCCAGTACCCCACCTTTAACAGGCTCCCTTCATGTGCCAAGTTCCTGGCCACCCAAACCTTTGCTCAGGACCTTCCCTGGGCATCCTCAGAAGTTAGTTGTGCTGTCCTGAGGAGTAAATGAAGCTGGGATGAACTCGGCAACCCCCAGGAGTAAGGGCCAGGCACCCCTGCTCTGTCACCCCTGTGTGACATCAGGTGAATTCTTTCCTTTTTCAGGTCCCAGGGTCCCCGGTTTTAAAAATGGAAAGTAGCCTGGTTAGTGTTTGTGCTGCGGCCGACTTCGGGTAGTGGAACTGATCAGCAGGTGTGGCGGGCCAGGAAGGCTTGCCTAAAGAACCCAGTACACCACAGAAGGCCTCTCTGCCAAGAGAAGCGAGGTCAGGCTTGAGAGAGAAGGAAATGAACCCGGTTGGCGGGGCTCGAGGAGATGGCACAAGAGAGATGAGGTTGTGGGTAGAGCCGCTGGGCCAGCTCTGCCCAAATATGCTGGACAGTGATTCGTCCTATGTGGGCAACTCCACTGACTAGTTGGGGGATTTGATTGTCCTGTGCCCAAATATTAGCTAGTCTCAACCACAGGTCCTCTTCTGAGCAAACTGAGCACTAGTCTCAGGGTGACTGTGAAGGTTTGCCATGTTACCTGCCTCATTTGCGTAAGCTGGCCAGTTGAGGGGGTGAACCGCATCTACCAACTGTCTTCAGGAACCGAGCAACTAACCCCGCTAACCCACGCCAGTGGTGGCCTTGCTTCTTGGAGACTGCCCTTGGATTTGACACATGTCCTGAGCTCAGGACTGGGTGCCACTTAGCCAAAGCAGCTGGTTTCCCGAGAAGACTGGGGAGGAACCCCTACACACGGCCGGGCTCTGGGACTCAGTCTCCCGCATCGGTAATGTGGGAGGGTTGGACTACAGTAGGCGTGGCCAGCACGTGGTACCAATGGCGCCACTCCTCGGCTTTCACCCACAGCAGACACCTGCCAATCAATTGCAGCCCCCCCCCCCCCCAAGAGACTGAGATACCTCTGAATCGTTTCCAAAACGGAGCTTCAGGCCACCCTTACTAATCAATTAGATTTGGCATGCATGATAAAAAAGCATTTGTCCTTGGGATATTAGACAATGGCCATGGCCAAGCCTCGTTCCAGCTGTGGCGATCTAGGACTGTGACTGATGGGGTACTCTGCAGACTCAGCCAGGGCGGAGACCACGGGTCTCCGGCTGTCCCTGGGGCTTCCGGGGCCTATGGAGTGGGCCTTGCGCCGCTGATCCTTATTATTTTTCCTCACTGCTCCTAACTGAAGATGGCGTCAGTTCTCTTCTGCCCCCTCACGTCCTCCAACTGCCGCCATCAGCAGAGACTTTTTTAGAAGTCTCACTGAAGGAGCCGCCAAGCCCCTCCTCCCTTCTTTCTGAAAGACTGGGGGAGATGGGTTTGGGAAGACTTCACAGTGGAGGAATGCGCTCCACGGGGAGTTGGAAGTTGTTTTCCTTGAGAAAGGAGATGAAAAGGAAGGAGTCATCTTGTAGTTTCCCATCCAGCCCTGGAGCACAGCAGTGGGGACTGGAACCAATCCCGGGAGGATAGCAAGCCTTGTTAGGCTGTTGACAACTAGGTCCTGAAGCGCACAGCCTTAAGGAACCACTTGCCGGCTCCCCGGCGGGCTCCCTGGCTGATCTGCTCTATTTCCAAGGGACCAGAGCCTTCCCTGCCGTGGGGCGGCTACTTGGGCTTCTGTCTGCAGAGTGGAGGTTTCGCTTTCCCCAGTGTTGTGCTCTCGGGTGGGCGTATGTTTAGCACTGATCCGAATTTGCTGGATCTGGCAGTTTGAGGTCTGTGGTTCTGCATTCTCCTGCTTCTCAGTTTACAGATGAGCTGAGCCTTGCAGGGGGCCTGGGCAGGGTGCAGACCTGTCTTGGAAAGAGGATGCAGCTCAGAGCTGTAGGAAACTCAGACATTGTCCAAGCCCAGAGCCTCTTGAACTTGAGTGACAACAGTGTCCCAAACCCCTGGATTTGAATTAGACTTTTCCTTCTTTTAAAAAAGATTTTATTTAGAAATTATGTTTTAGTTCTAGGAGGTCACATTTATGTATTTTTTTCTCCCAATGTCTGTGCTATTGGTGTTTATTTAAAGTGAATTCCTGTACCCATGCAATGAAGGCTACTTCCCACTTTCTCTTCTATAAGGTTCAGTGTATTCAGATTTATATTGAGGTCTTTAATACATTGGGGCTTTCTTTCTTCCACTGTATCATTTTAACTTCGTTGTCAAAATCAGGTGTTCATAGGTGTGTGTATTAATATCAGGGTCTTCGATTCAATTCCATTGGTCAACCTCTCTGTTTTTATGCCAATACCAGGATGTTTTCATTACTGTAGCTCTGTAATAGAGTTTGATGTTAGGGATGGTGATGCCTCCTGAAGTTCCTTTATTGTACAGAATTGTTTTGGCTATCATAGGATTTGTTTGTTTTTCCATATGAAGTTGAGTATTGTGCTTTCAAGGTCTGTGAAGAATTGTGTTGAATTTTTATGGGGATTGCATTGAATCTATAAATTGCTTTCGGTAGGATTGAAATTTTTACAATGTTGATCCTACCTATCCAAGAGCATAGAAGACTTTTCCATTTTCTGGTAACTTCTTCAGTTTCTTTCTTCAAAGACTTAAAGTTCCTGATGAACAAGTCTTTCTTTCACTTCTTCGGTTAGTGTTACCCCAAGATATTTTATGTTATTTGTGGCTATTGTGAAGGGTGATGTTTCTATGCTTCTGTAAAGAAAAGGACATGGTCAGTAAGACAAACAAGGCAACCTATTGAATGGGAAAAGATCTTTACCAACCCCACATCAGACAGGGGACTGATCTCCAAAATATATAAAGAACTCAAGAAACTAGACATCAAAATATCAAGTAATCAAATAAAAAATGGGTATAGATCTAAACAGAGAATTCTCAACAGAAGAATCTCAAATGGCTGAAAAACACTTAAGGAAATGTTCAACATCCTTAGCCATCATGGAAATACAAATCAAAATGACCTGAGATACCACCTGTCAGAATGGCTAATATCAAAAACACCAATGATAGCTTTTTCTGGAGAGGATGTGGAGTAAGGGGAACACTCCTTCATTGCTGGTGAGAATGCAAACTTGTACAAATGCTCTGAAAATCAGTATAGCAGTTTCTCAGAAAATTGGGAATCAACCTACCTCAAGACCCAGTGATACCACTCTTGGACATATACCGAAAGGATGCTCAATCATATTACAAGGACATTTGTTCAGTTATGTTCATAGCAGCATTATTTGTAAGATCCAGAATCTCGAAACAACCTAGATGCTCCTCAACTGAAGAATGGATAAAGAAAATGTGGTACATTTACACAATGGAGTACTACTCAGTGGTAAAAAACAAACTAATAAACAAAGACATCTTGAAATTTGTATGCAAATGGATGGAATTAGAAAAAAACATTCTGAGTGAGGTAACTCAGACCCAGAAAGATGAGCATGGTATGTACTCACTCATAGGTGAATACTAGCTGTAAAGCAAAGGATAATGAGCCTATAGTCCATGACCCCAGAGAAGCTAATTAACAAGGAGAACCCTAAGAGAAACATATGTAGATTTCCCATGGGAAGGGGAAATAGACACTATTTCCTGAGAAAATTGGGAGTGGAGGGAGAAGGGAGGGCAGAAGGGGAAGAGGGGAGAGGGAGGAAAACTTGAGTGAACAGGATGGTCGAGATGGGGAAGGACAGAAACGAAGAGCAAAGAGATATCTTGATTGAGGGAGCTATTATGGGGCTAGCAAGAAACCTGGTACTAGAGAAATTCCCAGGAATCCACAAGGATGACCCCCAGCTAAAACCCTAAGCAACAGTGGAGAGGATGCCTGAATTGAACTTGCCCTGTAGTCAGATTGACAACTATCTTAAATGTCACCATTGAGTCTTCATCCAGCAACTGATGGAAGCAGACTCAGAGATCCACAGTGGAGCACTGGGCTGAGCTCTCAAAGTCCAGCTGAAGAGCGGGAGGAGTGAGAATATCATCAAAGAGGTCAAGACCATGATGGGCACACCCACTGAAACAGCTTACCTGAGCTAACGGGAGCTCACCAACTCCAGCCTGACAGGGAAGGAACCAGCATAGGACCAAACTAGGCACTTTGAATGTGGATGACAGATGTATGGCTGGGGCAGACTGAGGGGCCACTGGCAGTGGGACCAGGATTTCTTTCTACTGCTTGTTCTGCCCTTTTGTAACCCATTCTCTCTGGAAGGATAGCTTGTTCAGCCTAGATACAGTATGTGTAGGTATGTACTGTATGTGTGCCTGGTGCCCATGGATGTCAGGAGAAGGAGCTGGGTCCTCTGGAACTAGAGCTACAGTTGGTTGTGAATCACCATGTAGGGGCTGGAAACCCAGGACCGCTTCATGAGCAGCAAACTCTCGTAACCTCTGAGCCATCTCTCTAGTCCTTATTTTTAAATTTTAAATTATGTTTATGTGTGTGTGGGGAGTGCATGAGTTTAGTTGTCCGATTCCCTGAAGCTGCTGTGACCAGCGGTAGTGCTGAGATCTGAACCCAGGTCCTCTGCAAGCTCAGCATGTGCTCTTAACTGCCTCCCCAGCCTCTGTTTTCTTCTTTTTGAAACAAGGTCTCATGTATTCCAGCCTGGCTTCCAGCGCCCTATGTAGCTGAGAATGCCTTTGTGCTCTTGCTCCTCCTTCGTCCACCTCCTGAGCTGGGGTTACAGATGTGCACCATCTTGCTTAGTTTATGCAGTACTGGGCTGGAACTTGGTGCTGCATGCCTTCAAGGCTCTCTATCAGCCTAGCCAACCCCACCTCTGGATTGCATAGTCTGTGCTTTTTTCCTTTTTAAATATTTATTGCTTTACCTGTATGTGTACATGCTTGAGTGTGTATATATGCACCATATGTGTGCAGTTTCCCGAGGAGACCAGAAGAGGACCTTGGATGCCCAGGGACTGGAATTGTAGGAGGTGCTGAACAACACAATGTGGGTGTAAGACCTGAACGTGGGTCCTCTGCAAGAGCAGCAAGTGCTCTTAGCCACGGATCCAGCACCTCTCCAGCCCCCCTTTCTCTCTTATATAACCACAAACCCCAAACAAACCAATAAATGGACACAGGCATAGATGTCCAGTATTCCTATTGGCCGCATGAGTGACTACGGTAGGTTCGACCACAGGCAAACACCCAGGGAGAGCAGACAGCCTTCCTGCCTGAGCCCCTCAGAGCTTCTCCATTGTTGGCCCTAGGAAGAGGAATGCAGAATAAGTCCTACACTTCAGCAGCGAGGTCAGGAGAGGATGAGGGCAGGGCATGCCAGGGAAACTGGGTGCCTGGAGACGTGGTTGCTCTCCCTTCATCTGCCAAATGTCCTCTTGGCTGACAGTGTGTCAGCCTTGGACAAAGATCCCTGCAGCTGAAGCCATCCCATCACTTCTTATCAGAGCTCGATTGTTAGAGTAGCACCAGCCACCTGCCTTGGGGGTTGGTTTGCCCAGACAGTGCCCTATCTGCTTTTCCTACTGCTGGCCAGGGAGCGCAGACCATGAAGTGTGATGTAAAGGAAAAGCATGAGCTGCAGCAGGCTACAGGCTGAGAAGGGCCAGGGCTCCAGTGGCGAACAGACCGAGGGGAAGCCTCTGCTCATGGGCCAGAACAGCACAGGCAAGAAGGAAGAGAGGGAGCAGGCCAGGGGTATGGATCCTCTAGGCAACTCCTGATGCCTTCCAGCCCTACTCGAATGCCCCTGCTTTGAAGAAGCACCCCAGATCTGTTCCACCATGCTCTTATTTCCTGCACTCTTCTGGGAGCATGCCATTTTGTAGAAGGTCAAACTTAGCCTTTCTCCAGAACTCTGTAGTTCTACTGAGGTCAAGGGTTTGTCTCTACTCACTGCTGTATCCCCAGCCTTAGTAACAACATCCCAGGACTACAGATGCTCAGAGGAATGGATGGGAACTACCTGCCCTTAGGATGTTGTCCCCTCATCAAATTCCCCCTGCTTGTCTGCGCCATCATGGCACCTGGCCGAATCTGTCCATGCTATGAACGGCCACTGATTTTCCCTGTTGTCTCCTCCTCATTATCACAGCAGGAGAATGTCTTAGAGGCACCACGGTGCTCCCCGCAAGCCCCTGCAGAATCACAGGGGCCTCGAGTAAGGGCTCCAACTGGCAGGAAGGTGACACAGCCAGTCCAGTCCCTGTGAAGCACACAGCCACTTCCTGGGCTGCATCAGCCGGCCCAGAGCCACTGCTCTCTCCAGGGACACACAGACGGACACCTGGACAAAGTGAAGTCACTGGGATGATGACACATGCCATCCTACTCCCTTTCCCTCACGCTAGGAATCGAACTCAGAGCCTTGTGCGTGCTAAACCGCCACTCTACTAAGAACGACACCCTACTCCTCTCTTTCCTCTTCTTTCCTTTTCCTCTGAATTTGAGAGTCAGGAGAAAGCCCTCCACCCCCACCCCACAGACAGTGCCCTTCTCCAAAGGACAGAGCACACTCAGGACAAAGATAGACCCACAAGGTCTCAGAGAACAGCTCCTTTCCCCTCTCCCGAAGAGCCCCAGCACCTTGTCCTAGCCCCAAGACCCTCGGTTTTCTATGGCTGGATGCTCATCCCTGGATCCAGCGTCTTATTGGATAACAGTGGTTCCGGGGCTATGGCAGAGAAGGGCTTACATGGACCCAGGGTAATCTTGTTCTTGCTCTCCAGTCCCCGGCTGGTCCTAGGCAGGGCCGCTGTGAGACAAAGGGCACTATTCGCATTGAATTCTATTTGCACCTGGCTGTCCAATTCTCGCTCCTCCCCAATTTCTCTAACGGGGTACAGGCACTCTGGAACCATCTAAACAGCCAGAGATAGACTTCGTGTTCAGGAATGTAGAGTTTCGTGCGGCAAATATTTAAGGTCCTTTCTCATCTGGCCAAGAAGACAGAAATCACAGAGCCCCGTCCTGAAGCACTGTCCTGTCATCACAGGCTGTGCTGTGTGCCTAGGACCCTTGGGGCAGGGTCCACTCGGCAGCACAGAGGACAGCAGTGTATGGCTACTATGATTCAGGCTTTTTGAGCCGGAGACTCCCGACTGTCCAACTTAGGACTCAAACCATTTGACTCTGACCTGGAAGGAGCCAGGCAGACCTCAGGCGGGGCTAAAGGAGACCCGTGGCTCCAGCTTCTACTCAGACTAGAACACAAGCTGATGTAGGCAGCTGTCAAAGAGACCAGTTCCACCGAAGGACCAGCCCCTCACCTCCAGGCTCTCAAGGGGCAGAGGATGTTCAGAGGGCGGGTTTCAAAGTCAGTTGGTCTGGATTCAACAGCCTTTCTCTCATGCCCTTTCTGCTGGCAACTTCTTCCTCCAGAAGCCTTGTTTCTTGTGAGTAGAGTGGGTTTGCCCCCCTGTGCCTTGAAGATGAGGGACATAAAACCTATGCTCTTGCTCCCTACGTGGTGGTAATTATCGGCTGGCATGTCTCTCCCGTGGTGTAAGCCCTAAGCATTCTCCTGTGCCATGGACATGGATCCTTCCAGAGGTACCACTGCGCTCTTCAGTGCCACCTCAAAAGCTTGTCTCAGCGGGGGGAGGTTTTACTAAAGGATATAGATTTTCTTGGAAGGTATCTGCGTCATTTCATATGAAGCGAGGATGGAGAACTGAGAGCCTCTTTATCTCGGCACCTCTTTGGATTTGTGAAATTCTGTCTTTACAGGGCCACTCTTCTCGAGAGCCGTCAGTAGTGTGGTGAGTCGCCTAAGTATTACACCACCAGGGGGCACTGTTCAGCTGGTTTCTGTCCAGTTTCTCAAAGAAGCCGAGACGGGAATCCCGAGTACTGTGAGTACTTACTGGGAAGGGACAGGCTTTCGCTCAGGGATGTGTGCAGCTGCCCTCACCCTGCAGTCTGTCGCCTGGCGGGCGGAGAAAGGCACTCTTCCCATCGGTTAGGTCACTGACATTTTCCCGTGTTCCTTCGAGCACCCTTCTAGATTGTGACGGATGAGACAGTGTAGGCTAAGGAAGGGACACTTGCCCGTTGCCAACTCCAGATCCTCAAGTTGACCAGAAGGAGAGGTGGCAGAGTGAGGGGGTGGGGGAGGCAAGATCTGCCCAGCATAGCTGTCATTCCCTTCCTTCCATCCCAAGGGATGACAGTGGTCTCTCCCTCCTCTTGGGGGATATCAGGAGAGGGCTGGGGTTGAGCTTTCGTGGAGCTCAACCAAAGATGTGTGTTCCGGGAACGCTGGCTGCCGTTTTAGGAATGATACCCTACCACATGGAAGCTTCCAACACACTCCAACTGCCATGGGCAACTCATTCTGCAAGTCTGCACAACTCTGGCTGGATCCTGAGATACACTTTCACCACACCAGTGAACCCCAGGCCACTATTCACTTGACTTTGGGCATGAGTCAAGCTAGACACAAGCCTCCTCTAATCCCTTTAGGACCACTTGCCTCAAGGAAGAAGGATGCTGGAAAGCTTGGCGAGGAGAGGAACCCTGTGTGACAGACAGCACACGGAAAGAAGGCCTTTGGAGAGGACCTCTTTTTTCTAGAAGGATCTCCAGTGGAATGGAGGACTGGGGATCCTGAGAGTGGATGCAGCCTTTTACCACTGACATTAGGGTCCAGATTATGGCCCCATCCTAGCCACAGGAGAGGGAGGAGCAGAGGGGGTTACTTTACTGTGCCCAGCTCATTCAGTAAAGGGCAAAGCTGAGCTCTGAAACTAAGAACTTTGCTTTAGCTGTTCTGCGGTGGTCCATTAGCATTAGTACAGCTACTGTGGAACCCATGCATCTGGGACCCTAAGTCTTCACAGCCAGGCTGTGACAAGCATGGATGTTCCCCGGATTTCTCATTTCATAAATGAGTAAACCTGGGTTTAGCAGGGCGCCTCGGGTGAGATGACTTCACATCTTCACAGATGTTAGGTCTGCTAAATCAGAAACGTCCACCCTCCTCAGCCTCCCGTGTACTTTGGTGCCTCCGTTTCCTAATGTCAATGTGTTCTCTTCTGTTCCTGGGATCTCTGCTCCAGCTAATGGGAGAAGGGAGAAGGCCTTGCAGTGGGATGACAATGTCCAGCCACTCTGGGGTTCTAGACTCCCACTTACCTATTCCTCCCAGAAGAAGTCACAGCTCTGGGATTTCTCCCTCCGTTGGATAGTTTGGGTGGGAGGTAGACAGGAAGGTTCTGGGTGGGGAAGGTCGGCGCTGCGTCACCCCAGACCAAGAAGGCAGGGCAGTGAAGTGTCAGAGCGATCAACAGCCACGTGCTTAGGACAGTAGTGGAGAGAGCCGACTGTCTTTGGGGAGAGGAGGCGCGCCCCTAACATGAGTAGGGGGCGGGGAGGACGAGCAGGAGGAGGCCGGTTCCGGCAGAAGGCATGGGGTAGGGGGAGGCCGAGAGCACGCGGACAAAGGAGGCGGCCCTCAACCCAGCTGTTTTGAAAAATGCTTCCTGTTTCTTTAAAGGCACTCGCGGCTCGGGCTGCCTGGGTTAGGGAGGCGGCAGCGGCGGCGGCGGCGGCGGCGGGAGCTGCCTCCTCCCCGGGCGGGCGGCGCTGAGTGATCTTGCGAACTGGGCTTCTGTGTAAACTGAGGCTAAACAAACACAGATGGAGCGCAGCGGGCGTTGTGCTGAAATGCTGTCAGGGCGGCAGTGACTTCTGATGACACTCTGAGCTCTCGTAGAGGGAACGGGCAGCCTCCTAGGCTTCACCTAGCCTGAGGCGCAGCTGCCCCGGGAGTGGGGGAGCGAGGGAGGGACCTGGGGAGGGAGGGTAGGAGGAGAGAACGAGGCGACAAGGCGGCGCTGAGCACCGCGGCCACCGGGCGCAGCCAGGCGCTCGCAGAGCGATCGCAGCGGGCGCGCGTCCCTGGAAGTTCCACGCCCCTGCCTGGCTCTGTCCGCACCATGAAGCACATCCCGGTCCTCGAGGACGGACCGTGGAAGACTGTGTGCGTGAAAGAGCTGAATGGCCTCAAGAAACTCAAGCGGAAAGGCAAGGAGCCGGCGCGGCGCGCGAACGGCTATAAAACTTTCCGATTGGACTTGGAAGCACCCGAACCCGGCGCCACGGCCAGCGCCACCCCTGCCACCAACGGGCTCCGGGACAGGACACAGCCGTTCCCAATCGCAACCCCAGTGCCAGCCTCAGTGGCGCCGGCGGTTCCTCCAGGTGGGGGCACGGACACAGCCAAGGAGCTCAGGGGCATCCGAGCGCCTGAAGTCTCAGACGCGCGCAAACGCGGTTTCGCCCTGGGCACAGTGGGACCGGGACTACCCACGCCGCCACCGACGTCCCAGAGCTTGGCACCGGGGCGTCCCGAGGCGCAGCCCTACCGTGAGCCGTCTCTGCGTCCCCGCATCTTGCTGTGCGCCCCTCCCGCACGCCCCACGCCGTCTGCGCCTCCTGAACCCCCACCGGCGCCACGAGAATCCCCCGTGCGCCCTGTGCCCCCCACGCTCCCGGGGGAAAGTTCCTACTCGTCAATTTCACACGTAATTTACAATAACCACCCGGATTCTTCTGCGTCGCCTAGGAAACGGCCAGGCGAAGCGACCGCCGCCTCCACGGAGATCAAAGCCCTGCAACAGACCCGAAGGCTCCTGGCCAACGCCAGGGAGCGGACGCGGGTGCACACCATCAGCGCAGCCTTCGAGGCGCTCAGGAAGCAGGTATCCCCTCTCAGCCGCGGGGCAACAGTGGTAGGAGTGGGTGGGTGAGTGGCCCCAGGATTGGAGTCAGAATAAAGGGGATCCTGCAGCGCAGGCAGGTTTGCTTTATCAAACTGAGATTTGGCCACAGACCTTAGTTTGCAAAGTGGACCAAGGCTAAGGATCTCTAGCCCAGACGCATCCCGGTGGTCGCGAGGGCTAATTTTGCCCGCGGGTCTGACTTGTATGGCAGCGAGTATCTGCCTTCTGGAATCCCGTGGGCTGGGTGGGGAATACAGAGGGGAATATGGAAATCTCCCTCCCCCCCGCCCGGGAGAGGAGGAGAATACGACCTTTCAGTCCTGTGCACTTGGCATGCTTGGGGTCTTGGCCCCTGTGGATGGCACCCAAGAACCTCAACATTAGAAAGGTTCATTCCTGCGGGGGTGTCCTAAAATATAAAGGACCGTCAGGGGTGCCTGTCAGCCTCTCTTTGGTCCTGGCTTCCATGTTCATTCAGTTTGCTTGTGAGATCTCTGCACTTGCCTGGTCTCTGGAGTTCCTAAGGACCCGCTACAAGCTTGTGGTCCCTCCAAGGACAGCTTCAGGGACTGATCTGTGGGAACTGCCTTTCCTCTTCTGATCACATCAGTCACCTCTGCCCAGGAGACTGCTGCTTGGGGCATTCCCTCTAGGGAGGTCTGGAGAAGTCACAGGCTCCTCGTGGGAGGAGTAGGCGGTGGTGGGGACTTCTGTCACCTGGCAGCTCCTGTTGGGAAAGCAAAAGAAAACTTAACTTGAGAATTACCCATGGTGGAGGGGTGCAGTTGACAATTCCACTTCGGATAAGCTTGGTACTCCCCTGGAGCTCTAGTTTCTCATTTTCTTAGAGACGAGTGAATCTAAAAAGGGTGTGGTATGGGCCTTGCCATTCAGGTCATGTAAGGGGTTGGAGTGGGTGGTGGATGTAACTGCTTTAATGGATGAAGTTTTTGTTTGTTCTGCCACTGATTAGCTGTCTGTCTCCTGGAAAGTTACTCAACCTCTCTGGGCTTTAGCCAGTCACAAACCATTTCAGAAAACATCCTCTTTTTGGCTCATACTCTCGTTTTTCTTCTGTGGGTATGGTCAGGCAATATAGATCTAGTCCATCTATGACCTGGACATGGAACCCTTGGAAAGAAGTGGCCCCCATGGCTTTTCAGCCCGAGTGTCTCATCTGAGTTTGGGAGCAATGTTTGATCAATGAGGTGGGGTGGCGGTCACTGCCTGCAAATGCATCAGCTGTCACCCTGGGCTGTGGAGCCACCATTCTGCCCTAGTCAGCTGCTGTGTGCCTGCATGTCTGGGCAGTGACAGCCTGTGGGATCTCTCAGGACCAGAGGATGGTGGAAGGGCAGGAATTGCCTGTGTGCCTGCTCCTTGTGCGACTAGGTGAGTCTTTCCTGAACTGGGGACTCACGTGCCCAGAGTCTCCGTTTATCTGCGTCCAGCCACCTTCCTCAGCCTTTGCCACAGAGAGCGTTCTTGCCTGTGTCTCTCGTGTCCTGTGGCTTTTGTGACGTTCAACAAAGAATCCTGTTCTACTTAGTCTTAATGTCCAAGTCAGGCAGAATCGGATAGACCCATTTTGTAGTAAGCAATGCTGAGGCCAGGAGAAGGTACGAGACTTAGCCATGATCATCTTGTAGTGGGGGGTTAGATGGCAGCAGTTTCTGGAGAACATCTCTGACTAAAATCTTCCCGCTGGGTGGTACCATTCGCGACTCTCTGTGACGAGGGTGTTACTCCCTTCTCCTTTTGTTTCTGTTATCTGTGAGGCAGGTTCTGCATGAAAGAGTCAGTTCCATGTGTCTCATGCATTCTCAGAGAGAGGCGTGTGTGTGCACACATGCAGTTCAGTGTATGTCTGTATGTTCAGTGCATGTACCCAAAGAATACACGAGCACACCCGTCCCACCCCCCCGTTGCCTTTTCTTAGCCGTAACCATCTGTCCTGTCCTACTGGACTCTACTGGACACCTACCGTTGTCTAAGGACAGAAACATAGCCAGGGACTGAGACTACACGCACCAAGTCCCCTGTCCTCTCTGGGCTCCAGCTGCTATTACCCCCGACCTCACAGGCACAAAGGGAGCGAAGAAAGGCAAGGGCGGTGAGGAAGAGGAGCATTTCCCAACTATTGGCAAGGTCTCCGAACTGAGCAGGGCTCTGTAAGACGAGACAGTATGGATTCCTTATTATTTTAACCGGCTCCCTGTTTTAGACAGGGTCTCTTTATGTAGCCGTGGTTAGCCTACATCTTTTTAGGCTAGCCTAGAATTTATAGAGATCTGCCTGCCTCTGCCCCCTAAGTGCATAAAGGCATGATATCCAGCTCATTTGAAAATTTCAAGTTGTGTATTTGTGTGTGTGTGAGTGCGTGTGTGCGTGCGTGAATGCAGCTCAGAGGACAACTGAGAAGTTGGTTCTCTCCTTCTACCCCGTTGGCCTTGGGGATCCAACTCAGGCTGTTGGTCATGACAGCATCCGAGCTGTCTCACAAGTCCTTTTATCATTCGACAGTAAGCACAGAAAGTGCCAGGCTCTGTGCTTAGCATCTTCTGTGTTCTACCTGGTTTTGTGAAGCAGGTGCTGTCGTCAGAAGGTGATCCCAGGGTCTCAGGAAGCTTGTGTGAGCTGGCTGAGGTCCTGCAGTGTTGTTGGTGGCCTCACAGGCTTTGTGCGGCACTGTCTCCACCTGCCACCCTTCGGTTCCCAGGTTGGCAGTGTACCCATGGCTTTGTGCAGGGGCAGAGCTGTGCGGTCACCACAGAGCCTGGAATGAATCAGGGTTGGTGAGTCTTTCCGGTGGCCAGTGCTTAACGGCTTTGCTTCTTGGCGTATCCACCCCGAGCACCAGGGAACCAGTCAGGCCTCAGCCTGTCACTGCGACCCTCCCAGCCAGGAAGAAACAGCAGAGGGGGCTGTGTGGCTGCTGGCCCAGATACAGGTGGGACAGAGTCTTTCTGGTCTGAGGAGAGGGCTATGGGGCAGATGGTCAGGCTACCGCACTTGCCACCAGCCCAGCTGCACCCGAGCCCTCCTCACTGCCTCATATGAAGGCCATGTGTGTGCAGCTGGGCCTGGCCACGTGCAGGCTGCTCCCTGCCAGGTGGGAGGGGTCCACGGGAAAGGCCAGCTGTGCTGGGTAGAGGACCGAAGGGCCTGAGCTGTGGGACTCCATTTCCTGGCGGGACCCACCAGCTGGGCTCACCTTGAGGATGTCTAGCCTGTGGGTGGCTTTGTTCTCTCCCTGGAAGCCCCTTGATGTCCCTGGAGAAGTTGCAGCAGCGGGTCAGCTTGGGCCCTTAGAAGCTGCTTCTCCCCACGAAGTAGGCATTGAGCAAGTCTACCTCCCCCAGTGTGTCTTGGGGGTCTCCAGGGGTCCCACCAGGTTAATCCAAAGTGATCCCAGAAGGGTATGGGGAGGGTGGTCTCATCTTAGCCTCTCTTGGACTCCCAAATCATCTGAGGTGATAGAGGCACAGGGGACCCCCAGCAGGGTCTGTGCATTCCCCCAGATGCTGGTGAGTGGGGAGGGGGCAGCTGCTTACACTGGAAGCTCCACACAGTTGGAGAGGGTGACAGGACTCTTCCCCTGCCCCCAAGCTTGCACTTCCGAGGAGACTGATTATTGAGATTCCTGTGACATGGACATATAGCTGCGGTCATAAGTTTGCAGGGCTACTTGTCATTGCACTGATAAGGACACGTAGAGAAAGTGGTCAGGGTCTGTCCTCGTGTTTGTCAGACCGTCCGGCTTTACTTTGTAGAGACTGTGAATTTTAAAGAATATTTCTAAGTAGACCTGGACAGGAGGTTTTATGAATCCTCTCCCGCAGACACAGGAGACTAGCTTCACCCAGAAGGAAACCAGAATGTCACTGTATGCAGGGACATTGTGTGCTTCCTGCTCTGGAGGGGTCTCTGAGGACTGCCCCTGAGGGACCGACAGAGGGCAAAGGGCTTTGAAGGCTGTCCTGCGTGTTCTGGTAGATTCTTGATTTTGTTTTTGTTGTTTCTTTCTCCACTTAACCACTGTGACCCCATTTTGAGAAGCAGCTGTTGGAATGCCCACGTTTCTGGTGAAGAAACAGGTCCTGTTAGGCCACGGTTCTCCTTAAAGTCGGGAAGATGTCCAAGGGACAGCCAGGCCCTCAGGCTGCCCAGTCAGTATTTGCTGGAGCCAAGGGAGGGTCAAGCTTGGGCAGTGGAGGAGGAGTGGAATGTTTGGGGGCCTAGAGGACCTTGTGAAAACGTCAAAAGCTGATCCTTTGAGAAGTTTAAAATCCAGGAGCAGGGGCGACAGCTCAGTAAGATGCTTGCTGTACAAACGTGATTCCTGAGTTCATCCTCCCACTTACAGAGGCAGGCACGCTGGCGCGTATCTGTCATCTGGCACTGGGAAGGTAGAAACATGAGGCCCTCTGGGGCTTGCGAGACAGTCCAGTTCTGCTAAACCAGTGAGCTCCAGGTTCGGGAGAGACCTCGTCTCAGAAATCAAGATGGAGAGTAATGGAGGACAGCTGACATTGGTTTCTGCCTCCGCGCGTGCTCGAACACGTGCGTGTACACCTGCACAGATGTGTGCAGGTACAGCCGGTCTGTGTGGAGAAACACGAGGGAGGCCCCTTTTCCATCCTAGAAGCTGGGAAGTGGACATGAAGAGTGGGAGCCCATTGGCTCTGCCTACTCCTTCAGCTCCAGGCTCCTGACCAGGTGGGGTCCTGTGCAGGCAGTGGGGTGAATGGATGGGGCCTGTGACTGGCTGTGGATGCTCACAGAGGTAATGTGCAAGGGTAGGGTCTTCTGGGGTTTACCAGCCCAAAGCTCTCTGTCCAAAGCTACCCCCCACCCCCACCTTCAGCTGAGTGAGAGGAGCAGAATCTTCTAGACTCTTACTCTTGTGGTAGCAGTCAGGCTGAGCTGTGGAGGGCCACAGGCTGCATAGGTACAGGGAAAACGCATGGTGGTGGTTTTATGGACTTTGTTGTTTGTTGTGAGTAGTATGTGTATTCTCTGTATGTGTAACGATGTCTAATGTACCAGAGGCTACCCTCAAACTTCTGATCCTCCTGCTTCTACCTCTCATGTGCTGGGATTACAGGTGTGCACCCCTACTCCTGGCTCGTGCAGTGTCGGGGACTGAACCCAGGGTATCAAGGTATGCTAGGCCAGCACTCTACCGACTGAGTTATCTCTCTAGTCCAGGATAGCCAGCCTTGTGGGAGGGTAGGAGCAGGGGCGAGTCACCTGACTGTTACTGTTGCCTCACATGGCCACCTTGGTGGCAGAGGAGTGTCCGTTTGTATGTGACGAGCTGCTGGCTCCAGCCAGGTCTCGGCTGGCTGATCTGAGGCTCAGCATGTCACCTGTTTGCCTCGTGCGTATGTGGGACATTCATCTTCACTTGGGGCAGATTTCAGATGGGATACTGCCGTGAAAGGCTGTGGCCATCAGCTGGACGAGGGCTCAATCAATGGTTGGCTTTCAGTTTGACCAGGACGTTGACCCAAGCGATGGTACAAAGTGACAAGTCTAGGACAGACTGATCCAGAACCTGGCATGGTGTTCCTGGGTTGGCCTTGGCCTCACCTGTCATTTTGGATCCCAGCACAGAGACCTTTCTTGATGTCTCTCTTCTTCTTAGAAGCCTGGCTGTTTGGGGACCCAGGTGTAGAGCTGGCCATTGCAGGGAGACTTCCAGAGTGTTCTGTAAGTGATAGTAGTCCCGGGTTCCCGGATTCCACCCTGCAGGCAGACATCACTTCCTGGGTCGAGGGGCAGGCAGAGGTGCTGGGCCTGCCTCCGAGACCCTCTTCTCTGGCCCAGACTGTGTTATTTGTTTAAACTGATAAAAATGTTTTCTGGACTCAGAAAACAGGCAAATCACATTGTTCTTTCAGCTTTTCTTGGATGGGTTTGGTGATGTGGCCATGGGGAGGATGAGTGTGCTGGTGGGGGCTGGGAGTTCAGGAGAGTTAGCATGCTCTGTAGTCTTCCCTGCCCTTTTGCTCTGGTTTTCTAGTCTCGGGTTCCTGTAGGCTGAAGGGTGGTTAGCTACTGTGCCCAGGTTTCTCACCCTCTCTGGAGCCTGCCTTGGGACCTTCTGCAATACCGAATGTTGTCATTTTGTTGACCTCTACTAGGCTTGCTGTGTACAGTGCCTATGTCACCCACTGAATCCCTGTGAGGTCAGTCTTCTTCCCAGTACACAAAGACACCAAGGTTCAGAGTATAGCATTCACTCTGTCTTATGCTGGACAGTCGGAGCCGGGTGTTGAATCCGTGTGTGTGCGTGTGTGCATATGCACGTGCGTGTGCGTGCATGCATGTGTGTGTGTGTGTGTTTGTGCATAAGTATGTATGTGTGTGGTGCTCTGTGTGGAGGTCAGAGGACAGCTTCTGCTAGGCCTCTTTTTTAATGTTCTCTCCTCTTACTGGTCTGACTGTAGTCTAGGCAGGCTGGCCAACAAGCTCCACGATGCTTCTGATTCTGCCTTCCCAGTGCTCAGATCGCAAGCACATGCTGCCGTGCTGGACGTTTAGAATATGTGTTCCAGGACATCATTTTTGCAAGGCATACTGACGACACTATCTCCCAGCCCAGATAAAGTTCTTTTTAGTTATATCTTTTTAGAAAAGACTTGTTTGTTTTATGGATGTGAGCATTTTGCCTGCATATGTGCCCGCACACTCCATGAGTGCCTGGTACTGAAGAGGCTGAAAGGTTACTGGATCCTCTAGAATTGGAGTTACATGTGACTGTGAGCTGCCGTGTGGGTGCTCGGGATCAGACCCAGGTCCTCTGGAAGAACACTGTTCTGGAAGAGCTGTCTCTCCAACCCCTTATCACTTCATTTTATTTTTAATTATGTGTCTGTGTGTCTGAGTGTGGGTGTGTACAATAGTGCAGTATCTGAGGAGAACAGAAGGGACCTTGGCTCCCATGTTGCTGGAGTTATAGGCAGTTGTGAACTGCCCTGTTGGGCTGCTGGGAACCAAATTCTGTTTTTTTGGGGAGATCAGTATACTGTTTTAACTGCAAGCCATCTCTGCAGCCTCCAAATAGTGTTTTTGAATTAGATTCAAGATATTCTGGAGCTAATTCACTCATTGCCTTATTTAGTCAGCCCCTTGGAAGTCTGCTCTGGGCAGAATGTGGAGAATACTCCTCATCTGGGAGCCTTCCCCCAGCATATGGGGACACTGGTCACAAAGGATGGGGGCCAACTGAGGACTTAAAGACAGAAAGGTGCCATTGCAGCACCACTAAGCAAGGCTGCACTCTTAGGATAGGTCAGGCATGAGAAATCAGAGACGGTTCTAGATGAAGAGAGTGCTGTATTTAGGGGACAGTCAGAGGTCTTGTTCATACTTAATTCTGGGGCGTCCAGTGGAGATTTTCATGTTTGGCATTGCTGAGCTTTGGCCGAGGAGTTCTTTCTTGTGGAGGGCACTGAGGATCCTGCGCGTGGTGTGATGTTCTGCAGCACGAGCCCTCCAAACGGCTGCTCCTCTGTTGTGACAACTAGGAATGTCCCCAGGCCTTGCCATCTGTCCCTAGAGGGATAAACTCATTCCTGGTTCAAAACCATTGACTTCAAAGAGCCGCTGCTCCCTAAATACTACAGCAACGGTTCTGTGTGGGCCCCATGCTCGGTGGAGTAATGCGGATACAGATGCTGTGTTTAGATGCCAAAGAGTTATGGTTAGGACCAGAGCCTTGGCTGCTGGTGGGACATTTCAACTGTTTGTGTGAAAGGCGGAGAGAAGGAACAGGTCCATTGGTTAGTAGCTGTCGGGTAGATTCTGAGGAGTTACATCCATGTTACAATGCCGTGTTCAGTTCCATGTCCGGTGGTCTGAGCTCTATGACAGCTCACATAGTACGTGTAGAGGGTGGAAGAAGTCAGAGGCTCCTCCTCTCAGCACACGCCCCTTTATAATTAGTGGGTGATTAGCTGCTGCTGAATCCCAGACTAATGAGTCAAGTCTGGTTGGGGCTGTTGGCATTTATTACGCACCTGTTGTGTGCTGTGCTTGGCAGTAACCCAGGTCCAGAGGGCATGGGAAAAGGGAAGAAAGAAGAAAACACACCACAGTTTTGTGTCTGTGTATCTGCACTGTCCCCCCCCCCGAAAATCTCCGGGGTCCCAGGAGAATGTATGATGTGTTTAAAATGTTATTTATTACTAAGTGTGCGCGTGAGTGGTGTGTGCATGTGGACATATTGCCATGGTGCACATGAGGGGGCAGAGGACAGACAGCCTGGGTACATGGGTCCCCAGGATTGGCCTCTGCTCTCGAGGTTTGCACGGCTACAGCTTTCAGCTCTCTTCTTTGGTCTGAATTCTCTGAAGGCAGGAGTTGAGGTTTGTCTGTTTGCTTGCTTGTTTCCAGGCAGGATCTTGCTCTGTAGCCCTGGCTAGTCTGGTACTCACTGTGTAGTCCAGGGCAGCTTCCAGCTCACAGTAGTGCTCCTGCCTCAGTTCCCCAAATGCTGTGCACCTCCATACTTGGCTGAGAGTCGTGTGTTTATTTTAAATTTATTTTTTAAGTTGTTTTGAGACAGGGTCACCTGTGACTTTCTGTGAACTTATGGAGCAGGCTGATTTTGAATTCTTGATCCTCCTCCTCTACCTCCTGAGTTCTGGGATTGTAGGCATACACTACCAGACCCACGGGAGTCAAGTTTTTATAGAGCATGGTGTCATACGCCTTTAATGCCAGCACTCGGGAGGCAGAGGCAGGTGGATCTCTGTGAGTTAGAGGCCAGCCTGGTCTACATCACAAGTCCAGCACACCCAGGACTGTATAGTGAGACTTTATCTTGAAAAAAAAATTTTTTTTAGTTGTTGAGGCATCAAGTGTCCAACAAAGTGAGTGTCAGTGGATGAGTGAGCACGTGAGAAAAAGCATCAGAAGTGGAAAGAATATCTGTCCCCGCAGAGGGAGGGAGGATGGGGCTCTGTCAGGGCAGAGATCTGTGGTACTTCATCTGTGTTCTTCCCCTGTCAAATGAGAATTCTGGCACACCCCGGAGTGTGGGAGTGGATGAGCCGGGATGTGGGAGTGTAAACTTCAGACGCTTAGCACAGGTCATAAATTCATGTGTCAGACCCAGACACACAGTATACAGGCTGCCTCTACCCCCCTGCCAGCCTACGGGCGTACTGAGGGGTGCATGTTCAGCAGAGACCTTTGCAGCTGCTCCTGATGCCTCCCCTGCCGTTCTCAGGTGCCGTGCTACTCCTATGGGCAGAAGCTGTCCAAACTGGCCATCCTGAGGATCGCCTGTAACTACATCCTGTCCCTGGCGCGGCTGGCTGACCTGGACTACAGCGCCGACCACAGCAACCTCAGCTTCTCCGAGTGTGTGCAGCGCTGCACCCGCACCCTGCAGGCAGAAGGACGTGCCAAGAAGCGCAAGGTATGCACCTGCACTCAGGCAGCAGCTTTGGGGGGCGGGGACCGTGAGGTGGCGATACCCTGTGTGCCCAGGATTCCCAAGCAGCTGGAGAGATCAACCTCTTGGAACGTCCTGGTGGACACCTCGGACTCAGGAATCCCCACCTCCCTGGGATCAGGGATGGGATCGTGGGCTTAAAGCTGCTGGGTGACGTTGGATAGCCTGGAGTCCCTAGGTTTGGGTTTGCTTGTTGTTTAAGTAAAGACAGTGGGTCCGCCTTTGAAGCTCTTCCTGCCCTTGTGTGATCTGAGGCCGAATTATCCATGTGGCCCTAACAGACGTTGCATCAGGATGATGCCTTCTGTGGGTTTGGGGAAGGTGATTTCATCCAGGGAATGGGGATGAAACCGCGTGGGGATTGATGATATCTGTCCATTCATTGATTTCATGTCTTCATCTTGGAGCTATTCACTGAGCAGCTTGCATAGGGCTATGAACTTCCTATGCAGTGATGGGGTGGTCAGAGAGACGTCCCTCGTGGAGCACAGACAGCGTGGCCCATGCTGGGGCAGGGGAAGGCCAGATGGAAGAATCACAGAGTAACTCTCCTGTCCAGGAGAGCTGGGCAGACATCTTACTGGAAATGACATTTGAGCTGGGAACAGCAAAGAGGCCACCAGGCAGATGACACAGTGGACAGCTCTGGAGGCAGAGTGGACAGCCTATGCTAGACCTGATGTATTTAAGGAAATCTGTGGAGGAGGAAAAGGATTGGGCACAACCATAGCTTCCTACATGTGTGATGCTTCAGGACATCCAGTCGGGGGCTAGGATTTAGCAGATTTTTTGTAGCTGCCTGGGTCTCTGGTCCCCTGTTGTGCATGGAAAAAGGCAGAGAGTGGGAGCCAGTCTGTCTGTGAGCCGCCTGGAGGTCCTGGGAACAGGAGCTGGGGACTCTGGTATCCTCATCCAATCCCCTGCTTCCATCCTCTTGGCCTGCCCCTCCCCCAGGCTCTTTTTAGGTAGGGAACCTATGGCTTGCCCTGATTTCCCAAAGGCTGCGGAGGCCCCAGCCAGGGAGGCCCTCCTCAGGGGGTGCTACCAGCCCTAATTGTACATTGCATTCCTGGGAGTGATTTAGCAGGGCCAATTAGGAGAGGCCCTCATCAAGTGGGTGAGAGAGGAAGCCCCACTGGCCACTCTGGGGCCAGCTTTCCTGCCTTCCTCGGGAGAGTGACATGGGTAAATGAAGGTGTGATTGATGGCCCCATGCCGCGTGCTCGGTGACAAAGGAAGTTGGTAAACTCTTGGTGAACTCCCGTGGCATTCAGCTGTTGGTGCGTGTCCCTCGGTGGTGCAGATAGGCAGCCTGGGCAGGCTCCTTACTTTCCCCTCTCCTCTCTGACTCCTCCCCACCTTTTTATACCCCCCCACCCCAAGCAGCGCCAGCCACCCCCCTCCGCTAGTCTTTTGATTGGAGTAGACAGTGCACCGCACTGCATCCCCAGCAAGGGGAGAAGGCCAGCAGAGAGAGGATGCCCCTCCGAGCCATGCTTTGGGAGTCCTATGACATCACAGAGCCCTTCCTGCAGCGCGGATGAGGCGATGAAGTGGTAGGTTATGGATGAGTTACACGGCAGCGCTGGCTGAGAGCTCTTTCCTAACCCCTCGAGAGTTTCCTTGATATTTGGAACTAGTCACTCACTCAAAGATAAAATGTGTTCATGGATCTCGAAAGAGAACGAGGAGACAGTCCTGTCTGTTTGTTTGGTGATTGGTTCGAGGATGCCTTCCCTATGTTCTGAGGTGGGGGATTCCTGTAGGAAGCACATATTTAGATATGTCCAGTCCACTCAAAGTAGAGCCTGGACCTCACTGTTCCCCTTGGCTCTTGTGGCCTCCCAGGCCCTGCTTCTGCTCAGGGTTCTCCTTCTTATGTAGAGAAACTACCTCTTTGAGAAGTCTCATGAGGCAAGAGGGGATGGAGGCTGTACTCTAGCTCCAGGGCTCAGCACTGCCATGGCACAGGCCGGTGTCTGCCCCTTATAGGGCATGCAACCACTGCAGGAGCCCTTAAGCAGGTGATAGAAGGGGATATTGAAGTCCCCCTGTGTACACCTACTCCAAATACCGTACCCTCTTTGTGATAGCCATGGGGGTGTAGATGAGAAATAGTTTGCCACATAGTCCCTGCCACCTAGTGGCAACAGGACATTGTGGTTGGAGGATTTGGAAGCTAAGCATGATGATAGTGGAAGAGACAAAATCTCATGAAAAATTCTTGTTCTCCACATGGGTCTCCAGCCACCAGAAGCCATGGATAGAGTCTGCTCTGCCATTGGGAGGACCGGGCAGATTTGCCCAGAGCCCTGTTGGGCCCTAGAGAGTATAAAAAAGTAAGAACTAGAACCTTCCATGCAGGTGTCTGCTTTGCCCTTTCTGGGTCTAGAGTAGCATGTGGATCCATGCCCTGGGCTTGTCGTTAACATCCCCCTCGAGGAGGCTCTGGAATAGGGCACATGGGTCTTAGCGAGCTCTGAATGACATCGTGAGTTTGTGCCCTCCACTTGGCTTCTGGGCAACTCAGGAGCACTAGGGGCCCTTGCTGTTCTTCCATGAAATATGGGATGACCATCCCAGGCTCCTCCTACCAAGGCTGAGTCGCGGTTGGTTGCTGGCCCCTTCATATGTCTGTAGGGGATAACTTCCTGATTCCCCTCTGCCTTTGTTCCTTTCTGTCGCTGTAACAGAATACCACAGCCTGGGTAGTTTGTGAAGAAGAGAGGTTTATTAACTCTTGGGTCTGGGCTTGGCAGTAGTCCAGTGTGGGCTCCTGATGATAAGGGCTTTCTTTGCTTTATCTAATCTGGCCAAGGGCATCACACAGTCAGACAGCAAGCGTGCGAGCTCAGGTTTCTCTCTCACTGACAAAGCTAGTACTGTCGCACAGGGCCCCACCTTGGTGACCTCATCTCATGTAATTAACTCCTAGAAGTCCCTGCCCCCATGTTATTGACATCATGAGATCTGGAGTTGAGTTTCCAATACATGTAATTAGGGCACATGTGTTGTGAAATTGAAACCCCATTACAACTCATTTATATTAAAAATTTAATTCTTGGAGGCGGGGAGGGACGTGTGCTGTGCTTGTGGAGGTCGTCAGAGGAAAACTTGTTGGTTCTCTCTTTTCTACCACGTAGGATCCGGGGATAAACTCAGTTCGTCAGGCTGGGTGGATGGCATGTTCACACTCTGAGCCATCGCAACAGCTGCCTGACTCTGCTCATTTTAACTGAAGTTTAAAAACTTAAGCGGTGCCTAGCAAGATAGCTCATACTTGTAATTTCAGCATTCTGGGAGCTGAGGCAGGAGGATTGCCAAGAATTCCAGGACAGCTCCGGCTACAGAGGGAGCCTCCCTAAAAAGCCCTAAGTGGAAAGAGTAGTTCTGACTTGAGACCACCAGGAAGGGCGGCAAGAGGCTGGGGGCAAAGACTGCTGTCTGTGAACAGATGTCTGCTCTGCCTCTGTGATGCTGGTGGTCCTGGCCACTGTCACTGGTGACAGTTTGAGCTGGCGGATTGCTCCCTGAGCGACCATGGCCCTGAGAAGCTGGTAACCCTCCTTCAGGATATCTTTTTGAGAGCCTGGGTCCAGTGGCTCCTGACCCCCGACCCTGTGAGTCACCCTGCCCTTCAGGTCTACAGTAGGGAGAGTCAGCATTGAATTGGTCCACCCCTCTGTCCATCGCAGCCCTTCATCAGCCACTCTCCTTGACTAGTTGTGAGTTCCCCCCTCATATGCCTCATACGCCCTAGCAATGCAGAGAGCCCCGTGAGAGGCCGCTCAGTAGCAGCAGGGCAGGACGGGAGGAGGGAAGGCCCCAGGGAGGGCTGGCCCACCTCTGTGTGCTGTGCAGGAGCTAAGCACCTGGTCCTGCACCTTGCTCCTGCAGCTTCAGCTGCTATAGAGGCGGCTTCTGGGAGCCTCTCAGGGGGAGGAGGAAGACAGAGAACCAGAAGGAGGACCGACCTGTTCCTTCATACCTGGGCTCAGTGCGACTTGCCCAGCCTATGGAATAGGAGTTCCCCCAGTCTAGAGCACCCCCTTGCAGGGATTTCAGGTACTCAGTTACTTCTCCTGCTGACATCAGTGGAGTTCTTTGAGTCTTGGGAATGAGTGGTCATTAAGCCCCTGCTGTAGCTGCTCCCAGACGGTGGGGTGGGGTGGAGGACAGGACAAGCAGCAATCCATTGAGGAAGCCAGGTTACCAGCCTGCCTGTGTGGCCTGCAGGGCTAGGAAGTGAAGAAGCAGCCCCTCTTGGTGTGGGTGCCTGGGAGTCTGAGAGCTCTCAGGCAGGTGAAGGTTTTCAGACAGTCCTCTCTGTCTGCTGCCACCTGGGGGAGCTTTTTAAGGTGATGGCAGGTGGGGTAACAGACCGTCAGTTCTGGCGATGGACCAAGGGCAGACTGGTTTTGAGTGGTCGTCAGTGCTGGAGAGGGGAGTGTCAGTATGAGCTTTGGGTGTTCCGGGATGCTTCCTATCCAGGTGGCTGAGGCCTGGACAGTCCTTTTGTGGGCTGCTCACAGAGCCTGGGTACGTGTGGCATAGTCTCAAGAGACCCTCCCTGGCAGGGTTCAGCTCCCCCAACTCTGTGTGGTTCTGAGCACTCACTGGGGGCCCTGTCCTAGCCTTGTCCCCAACCTGCCTCAGAAGTGGTCACTCCCACAGTGCCTGGCTCTCCCCTTCTGTGAGGCCTTCCTCCGGGCACTGACTACTTCCCACGTGAAACTCGGAGGCAGGCCAGAGTGGCTCTCAAATCCAAATCCTCTAGGATAAGTCATTGAGTTAAATGCCATTTGCTTTCAAAGCCTGTGGAGCCCCTCTACACTGGGAAAAAGGAGAGGTGTGTGGGAAAGCCCCATCCAGTTCCCCTCCAGTCATAAAAATGGATGCAATTTATTTTTTCTGGCATTCCAATTACATAGATGTTTGTCGCCAGCTGTTCCAACACGGAGGGTTCTTTCAGCTGCCATTTCTTCTCTCACATTTGACTCTGTCAGGCCACAAGTCTGGCAGGGCCCGGGTTGGAGGGATCGTTAGCTGGGGGCCTCCCAGGTGAACTGGGCCTGGCTTTCTTTGCCATGGTCTGTGATGTTCCCTGGGTGGTCTTAGTGAGGCAGAGGCTGGGGTGCTGCTGTCCCAGCCCCATGGATCAGAACTCCGCCTTTCACCCTACAGTGTCGGATATGAGTGAAGACTCAGGAGCCTTGGTGTAGTGAGAAGGCAGCAACTACCCCGCATGCGCAGACAGCATGCGCAGACATGAAAGCCGTCTCCGCTGTACGAACTCGCCGTGCTTCGGACATGGATACAGAAAGAAGTCTGTAGAACGGGGATGAGCCCCTGGAGTCCTACGCCTCTCAGGAGTGCTGTCGTCCCTGACATGTTTGTGTTTAACTGTGAAGTCAGCAAAACGTAGGACGTGGGGGCTAGACCAGGTTTTAAACTCTGGCAGTGGCACTTCTTTCTTGGTGCCCCTGGAATTGTTATTTAACCTCTCTGATCCTGAGGTCTCTTCACTACGAAGCAAGAACAGCTTTCCTATTCTGATGGGAATAAACAAAGCTGTGTATCAGAAAGGGGCTGTCCTTGTCTCTAAAGGGGAAATCTCTGAATTTACAGCTGCAGGTGACAAGTTCGAATCCAGCCCTAGGAAGGAGCATCTCCGGAAAGGGCAGGACCCAGGGCCGGCAGAAGAGGACTTGTCCTTTCGAGTTAGAGATTCTCCCGTCTCTAGCACTTGACGGAAACATTGTTTCTGTCCTTTAAAGTAAGGCCAGCAAGCAGTCAGTCCATAAATCCTAGATTTCAAAGGGCGCGGATCTATACCAAGAAACCTAGGCAACATTTGGTGCCGAAGAACGCCAATAAACAGACGACATCAACAGACACCAGCCATATGGAGAGGACCACTGTGCACCAGGCACTGCACCTACCATTTCTACCCCTGTTAATAATACTCGTGAGTCAGGGGCACTGCCCATACTGCACAGAGTGGAAACTGAGGCCAAGAGAAGGCCTGGGCCATCTAAGAAGTAGGCTTTCTTGCTCTTTCACCCCTGAAGTTTGCCCAGGAGCACCAACTGCCCCCCCCCCTCCCAAGTCCTGTGCCATACCCACTTGGAGCCTGTGTGGAAATAGTCATCTGTAGCACGTGTGGAGGTTCCATTTAGCTTCAGGGAGCCAATAGCCCGCTGGTGGTGGCAAGGAGTGGGGTGGACCGGGATTCGGGGGCGGAGGGGGGGTGTCATCAGCTCCAAGCACCCCCAGGGCTGCGCCGCCAGTGAGGCCTGACACCAGGTTAAGTCGCCTGGCGGCCTTCGGCTGCAGCTGGGAGCGCCGCCTGGTTCCCATTCGGTGCTGTGGTTTTGATTAGCTGCTGGGAGAGGCAGCCCTGGCTGCAAGTCTATGGGAGCTCCGCAGGAACAGCGGGTCCCCCCCCCAGGCCGCCCGCCCCCCCTCCTGGCAACCCCAGACTCCAGATGTTCCGAGCGCTCGCTGGGAAGGCCTGCTGGCGCCACGGAGGGCAGAGGGCAGGGAAAGCACGCGAGCTGGAAGCCCAAGAACTCAGTCACCGCAGGCCTTGGCAGCCCGCCCGGCCCTCCGCTGGCACATTCCCCAGCTCTCCCCTGGCCATCTGTTCCCAAAAAGCCCTTTCAGAACCTCATCATCACTCAGGATACAACAGCGCGAGCAGCTGGTTTGGAGGCAGCAGCGAAAACCGTGCAAAAGGTTCTTTGTGAGAGAGGAAACTCGCTTATGAATAACAGGGCTGGATGCCGTAAAAGTTGGCGGCTGCAGTCCGTGTTTCTCAGGCGCCGCTGTTTGCTCTTGACTTTTTATCTCTGGTTTTTATTCCTCCCCACCCCCACGCCCTTGTTTGCTTTCAGAGTTTTTCTTCCTTTTCTGGCACCAGGTGTCAGTTCTTCTTCCTTGGGAGTACCTGACGGCCACCTAATAAGTTCTTAGGGTTCTGTCAACTGTTTTTGGTCTCAAAGCTGTTAACCCCGAGGCTAGTGGGAAGTGACTGCTTTCCCCTGGCTAGGAAGAGACTGGCAAGCAAGAAGGTCAGGGTGTCTAATGGGAGGGTAGCAGCTGGGGAGCCGGCTCAGCGGTCCAGAGTTCCCACCGCAGCACGGTCATTAAGAGCCGAGTGTGGCCACCATGCCGTGGTAAAGCTCTGGGAGAGACCCTGTCTCAAAAAAGAAAGGGAAATGATGTGCAGAAGTGAGGGACATGTCCTGATGTTAACCTTTGTCCCCCACGTCCCTGTCATGGGTGAGCGCACACACACACCTGGATCTGCGTGGCTAGGTCCTGGCCTGTTCATTGCTGAGGTGTCTCCAGAAGTCCTGGTCCTAACTTGTCGTCCTTGGAGGTCTAACTAAACAGGGGCATTGAGGTGGAAAGTCATTCCATTGTCACCCCGACTGACCCCAGCGTGCAGAAGCAAGCATTGTACCCGCAGGGGCTGGGTTGAGACCACCACGGGCTCGTCAGAAAGCAGCACAGGGGAGCCTTTGGGAGAACGGTGGTAGCCATAAACACCCCAGTGCCTGGGCCCCCACAGCTGACTGCAGCGTGACGTGAGGGCCTTTTTAAAGAACCGGCTGCTGCCACTGTCGCCGCCAAGCGCTTCTGGGACATGTCTGCTCAGAATCTGGGCACCCTCTGGGAACAGTCACCAGGTGGCCTGTCCTGGCGGTGGGGTCCTGGGCAGGGCTAGCAGCTAGGATGAAAAGAGAGAAGAGCAGTACTTCCCCGTCTCCCTGGCACCCCTTGGGACGGGGATCAGGGTCAAGACTGCCCTGTAGGGGTGGAGCTGGGGACTTCTGATGTCAGTGCAGTGATGGGGTGGGGGGAGGGCAGGGCTGGAGTTCCCTTGGCTTCCTCAGTTCCCTGACTGCTCCGCTGTTTGCTGCCTCCCTGCTGTCCCTTCAAGAGCCCTGAGTCTGTCAGCCCCTCACTCAGCCGCTTGAAGTGGCTGCCTGCGGCCTGTTTCCCCAAGTCCAGCATTCAGGTCTTTGGAGAGCCTGTTGTGTTTCTTCTGAGCTTTCTTTAAACCTCTCACCTCTTTCCTCCTGCCTTACCCTCCGCTTTCCTCCCGCCTACAGCGGGGCAGATAGGGCAGGACCAGAGGTTTATTTTATCATAATTTCTGGGCCATTAATCTCATGTCCAGAGGGGCTTGGCGCCAGCCCTTCGTCCTCCCTGTGTGGCCTCTATGGGGGTGGGGGTGTCTGAGTCTTAGTCTGGACTGGTCTTAGTGCTGCTTTGGGGACCATGAGATTTCGTTCAAGAGTCTCAGGCTTACTGGAAAGAGGGTTCAGAGGTTAAGAGCACTGACTCGTCCTCCAGAGAACCAGGGTTCAATTCCCAGCACCCAGGTTCCCAGCTCACAACTGCCTGTAATACTCCAGTCCCAGGGGGTCCACAGCCCTCTTCTGGCCTCTGGGTGCACTTCACACATGTGGTACACAGATGCACACAAGACAAACATTTTTAAAAAATGTCTGTGGCTCATGCTGGGAGGTGCTCCAGGGGCTGGCCAGGGATGGACAGTTGAAAGGATATAAATTTGGCTTGTGAATTCTGTTCCTCCCCAACATTTTCCACACGAGGATTCGGCTTTCCTGAGGACCTAGGACAGAAGAGTGACTGCTGATCTTATGTCCCTGGGGACAAGGTGGCACTGGCCCCGTGACCAGGAATTGATTTCAGTTCTAGCTTTCCAGAGGACAGGGTTTGGGGCACTGCGTAGTCCTGATGGCCCTCAGTGGAGGCCTAGAGCAGGGCGGGTTGACTGGCCCTGGCCCAGGTTGTCCCCTTATGCCCACCCCAGGCCTGATAACAGCTTCTAGGAGAAAACACAAGCCCTTCCCTCCTTGATTTCCCAGTGTAAGTGTTTCTAAATGACAAAGGTAGGAGCCAGTCCCTCCTTGAAAACACCCATGCATGAGTGCCCCAATCCTGGGCCAGCAGTCCAGCAGCTCCAACTCCAACAGAGTCCTCCAGAGCCCACCCCAGACGTTCTGCTGGAGGCCAGGGGCAGCTTCCCTCACCCGTTCAGGGTTCCCAGGTATTCTACACAGGAAAGACAATGTCAGACTCAGCAGGACTCCTGACTGTCCCCTACCGCCACCCCCACCCCTGATGACGCAGCCCCAAGTTTGCTAAGACCTCCTGGACTGCTCTGGGCACATGCTAACCTTGTGTAACCCTCCCAGCCATCTGATCTAGCTCTGCCTCCCTCCCACTTCCTCCAGGAAGCCCTCCTGGATTCCTACTCTGGTTTCCTCATGGGGCCTGTAGGACAGCTTTAGGGATCCAGGCTTCTTTTTCTATCTTCCTCATGACTACACCGTGGCTGCCATAGGGCCAAACACTTCAGCCTCAGAGTACACCCAGAATATGGGTGAGGAGAAGACCAAGATGAAGGCTTCTTTAGTGCAGTGGGTTCTGCCTAGATATCGCCTACCTTCCCCGAGGAGTGGCTCTCCTTGAACCCGAGAAAACCATCAGGGCCTGTCCAGGGAGAGCAGGGAGTGGCCCCTCCACAAGTCAACCCAGCAGAGTTGACTGGACAGGGCCGGTGTTGTGTCCTTGACCACCGTGGCAGATACCTGTTTCCCTAGCTCACCTAATACTAACCACATCCTTACAAAGCTGGTGCCCCAGCCTCGCTTTCAGCTGTTCACCTATGTTCAGAGAACATAGGTGGCCAGCTCCCCAGCGCCCTTACACCTCTGTACAGTCACTAGGTGTTCTGCGGTTCGCAGAATCCCTCACATCATTTCCGGATCCCACCACCTTGTGGGGTCTCTGTTATTTAGGAGTTATGAGATGGTACAAAGTCACCCAGGCCAGAGCAAGGCAAAACTGGGCAGGACCCACGCAGGCTGGTCCATCAGGCTATGACCACTGCCCTTTGACGCACCCCTCCCTTTGGGCTGCCTAGCAGTGTGGGCTCTGGGGATGGGGGTCTGCACTTCAGCAAACAGTTTGTGCATGCTCTGAGCTTGGGTGTTAACTTCAGCAAGCAGAATCTTCCTCCTGAGATGCAGATACAGCTGTCCTGGGGGCAAGGGCTGGAGGGTACAGTGGCTATAAAAAGGTTTTCTCAACTACAAGTCAGAAGGGGTCCTGGAGGACAGGGCTGGCTCATCTGAAAAGTGACCAGGAGAAGCCAAGTGTCATCCTAGCCTGGGGCATTCCCAAGAACTGACTCTAATGCAGGGAGAGAACTCAAGTCTGTTGAGAGAGAGAGAGAGAGAGAGAGAGAGAGAGAGAGAGCGAGCGCGTCTGCGTGTAGGCGTGTACGCTGTGCACATCTGTCGGGATCAGATGGAGGTCTCCTGCAGACTGTACCATTTTCTAAGGTGGGAACAAGGTTCATTTCAGAGTGCAGTTATTGATGGTTTGAAACTCTGCCTTCAGAGATCAGGAGCCACTAGAGCTGGCCCTGTGGTGGCAGGGAAGGCAGAGACAGCTGGGCCTGTGGAGCTGCTCAGAGCCCAGCAAGAACGGGGGTGGGGGTGATAGGCATTTCTGGGGGTCAGCTTCCCATCACAGTAGCAATGCTCCACACCTCTCTTTCCTGTTCTCCTACCCCTAAAACCTTGAGCAGGAAGGACACCGATAGGTTATTTATAATAGGTGGGCTACTTTGTACCTTCCCCAACATACGTACATTAACCTTTATATATACACACGCATACACACATACATGCATACACACATACATACATTTTTGGTCCATGTAACCCAAGATGTCTCCCAACTTCTATCTAGTAGAGTATGACCTTGAACTTTGTTCCTCCTGCCTCTGTCTCCCCAGAGCTCAGATTACAGACATGCTCCAAGCCAGTCGCGTCCTCAGTGCTGGGATAGAACTAGGGCTTTGTACATGCGAGGCAAGCACTCTGACAACTGAGCTACATCCCAGCTCATATAATTGTACTTCTTCGGTCTTTTTCGATCCCTGGGTAGAAGATGATGGAGATGACCCAAAGGGCCCTGCGCTTTTATTGAAGACGGAGTGAGTCTCAGGCTCACTCAGGCTTCGTCCGAGGCCCTAGGATTACTTCAAAGAGTAAAACAGAGGCCTCACCCTGGAGATCAGAGCTAAACGACACAAATGTGATCACTGAAAATCGAGAGGGGGCCCTGTGTGGACAGGAGTACGCCATACTTAGTGTGCGTGTGGCCCTTAACACCTTGACCCCCTTGGTGCCCGGGCTCTGAGCAGCCAAACAGAAACAACCTGTTGGAGCAAGGCCACCTCTGGGAGCCGGTGCCGAGCTGGCCAGTGGTCACAGCACCAAGAAAGAAGCAGAAGCCATTTCGTGCTGGAGCAAAAGGCTCCATGAGTGGCAGGGGCCGTGAGTGGCAGGGGCCCAGGGACCTGTGCAGACAGGTGATACTCTTGGGCTTGACCCTGTTATCCAGGAAGAAGTTAACTGACGTGCTCAGGTCCTACAGCTGGGAGATGTCAGACTCAGAATGCAGACGCCCTGACGCCACCGGTTGGCACCTTTAATCGCTACAGTGGATTGCTTGCTGGGCGGGTGGCACTCCATGTGTGGACGTCTATGAAAGGAAGGAAAGAGTCATTTCCCTCAGCTCATTCTTAGCCTTTCCTTAGCATAGCTAGAACCTCCTTTTATGGTGTAATTGATAGGGTGTCAGGGAAGAATGAGCCCTGAAGAAATGTCCCCACCTGTACCCACATCCTACAGTGCTCCGGATTCTAGCTAAGGCATGGGCTTAAGGATATTAGAAGAGACAAGGGAAGCGGGTCTCTCGCTCTTGTTAAAACCGTCTTTGCAGGCTAGGGATAGTTCAGTTGGTGGTCCTTGCCTAACACGTGTGAAGCCCTGAATTTGACCCCAGTATCAGAAGTATTGACTAATGCCTCCAACCCCAGCACTTAGGAGGTAGAGGCAGGAGAAACAGAAGTTCTAGTATATAGCAAGTTTGAGACTACCCCAGGCTACTAGTGAGATCTTATTCTCAATAAGTAAGTAAATAAATAAGGAAATAAAACAAAACTCCATGTTTTTGTGGAGCTCCAACTGGCTCTTGCTGAAATCACTTATTTGGGCTACACACACGCACGCACACGCATGCACACACGCACACACGCGTGGTCCATTCGCATCAGGCTCTCTCATGTCTTCTGGGTACAGATAGGAATTTTCACAGAGGCCTCCTGTCCAGCATGAATTGTTTTTCTGTGTTGCTCAGCTTTGCCCCCGGCTGTCACCTTGTTGGAAGGATTGGGAAAGTGGAGCTGAGATGCAGAAAAACAGAGTAGCTGTCCTCTCAGGGCAGATCGCTCAGGGTCCTGAAGTCCTGGCCACTCCAGAAGAGGCGAGCGTCTGAAGGTCAAAGCCAGGGTCTGCCTTGCTCTGCTGTTGTCTAGAAACGTGAGAGGCAAGAGCCGTAGCCAGCCTGGCAAGGATGGGTGTCTCCAAGGAGATGCTGTGCCCCTCCCTGTGTCTGTCATATTATTTAAGCACTGAGCCCCAAGAGATTGGAATTTCCCCAGGGACTAGGGTGTGTACACACGTAGGGTGTCGGTGAGGTCAGGCCCACTTAGGAAGACTGAGGAGTGGGGCTTTTCTACTTGGCTGGGCTCTGTCCACCCAGCCTGGTGCTGCAGGGTAAAGTCCCCAGCCCTTGGGGGGCTGCTGGGAATGAGCC